TTGACAGAACTTGTTGACATTCGTTTCAGCAGACTGGCAACAGAAATGGAGCAAATCCTGCCATCAAATTGTGTCGCGCAGATCCTGCTCGCTTTCTGCCGCCAATCTGACAGTAGCCTGCAGCAGAATCTGCTCGATTTCTGTTGCCAATCTACTAGCACAGAATGTCAACAGATTCTGTCAGGTTTCTGGCAGCAATTTGCTAACATTGTCAGATATTAAAGAATCTGTTAACAATCTGTTGCCTTTCTAGCATCAGAAATTTATAACAGACTTTGCGCTAATCTGTCTTTTCAGGTTTGGCTATCGGTGTACATGTTCTCTTTGAAAAAAATACATGTAGTGTTTTTCTTGATCTATAAGTTATCTTGATCTATAAAGATATTAGGCATAGAGAACGTAGTGAAGAATGACTACTGCATTGACAATGCATACATGTATACAATATATACATGTGTTTATATTTATTTCGTAAAATGATAGTGTAAAAATTTATGTAACATAAACGGAATTAGTCATGTCAATAATACAGACTTTTTAAATTGTCGATAATATCGACTTCTTAATTTGTGGTTACCGACATTTCTTTAATTCCATTTAGATGACATTAGCGGAATTCATCATCGGAGTTCGTCCTTCGCTTTAGGATCCCCTTAAACTTTATTGTTTATATTATGTTAATGCTAATCTACATCGAATGTTAAGCGTAACTCATTCACTGTATGTTTAGTTTAATTTTATTCTTTGTATGCGTTAAATATTCTATTAAAACCTAAAGGCTTTAAGAGGGGCAGTGTAAAACGTTATAATGGTCGACTGCTATATACTGGGTCCTTTCAAAAGTATGGAAAAAAGTATGGAAAACAGTCAAATAACTTGTCAGAGATGCATTTTAGAAAAAAGATGTTACAGGGGAAGTTGTAGGATTCCAAAATGTCTATTTGAAAAAGTGTCTGTTCTTCAAAAAGGATACGTAGTTATATATTGAAAATTTTCATTTTTTTAAAACAGCAACTATGTATTTTTTTACACCAATTGAATAATTTCATTATTCTAGGCATAAAAATATTAAGATATAATTGCCAAAAAAGGAATAGTTTACAAGATACTTTATATTTGACTTCTATATGATCTTAGCAACGTCACTCAAAGTCAAACAGATAAAATCGATAAGCAGACCTTTTGAAACCCTACAACTTCCCTTTTAATAATATTTTCTTTTTAAATGAGTCCTTGACGAGTTATTTGACCGTTTCCACGTTTTTAAAAAGGTCTGTGTGTGTATATTTTTTTGTTTGCTTCAATTTTATATGTTTGAATTGTCGCTTTGTAGGTCATTAGATCCTATAAGATTATAGTTTTCGCGCGTCTTCGTACACGCTCGTGATCGTTCGGCGCATTCGTACTTCTTCGTGAGAGCTTTTCCATTCCTCTTTTTTTGTCTTCGAAAAAATCTTATATCAATGAAAGATCTGATTAAGTAATGTATAACAAAGATTTGTATTAATAAGAAAATAAAGGCATTATTCTCAGGAAAAATGTGCTCATTAGTAGCGGAAATTCATGATGCATGCTTTTCCCGAGGCCATATAAATGTACGACAGTTCTAACATTTCTGATAGTTTGCCGACATCGTCAGATATTACAGATTTTGTTTAAAATTTGCTGCCTTTTGCCGTCAGAAGTTGATAGCATACTATGCTCAAACTCTGTCTCTGCAAAAATTTAACTATTGGAGTATACGAGGGTGGTTTGAAAAAGTCGTGCAGAAATGAAAACTATTTAATTTTTCGGGATAAACCTTTTGTATTTTTTAACGTAATCTCCTTATACACTTTGTCTAACGCTGCTCCAATTTGTTGATCCCTTCCGAATAATAGAATTGGTTCAATTGTCAACAAAATAGGCATTCATTTCTACAATCACCTCCTCGTTTGAGTAAAATCTTTTTCCCGCTAGCCATTTCTTCGCATTGGGGAATAAGCAATAGTCCGAGGGAGTCAAATCTGGAGAAGAGGGAGATGTGAAACGAGTTGGAACCGTAACTCCATCAATTTTGCGGCTACAACTCCAAAAGAGTGAGCTGGTGCGTTGTCATGATGAAAAAAGACTTTCTTGTGGATCAATCGTGGACATTTCTTGCAGCTTGGTTTTCAAACGATAATAATCCAATAATGCTGAATAATATGCACTTATAATAGTTTTACCCTTTTCCATATAGTCGATGAGGATTATTTCTTGCGAATTCCAAAAGACAGTCGCCATAATCTTTCTGGCCGAAGAAACGGTTTTAGTCTGTTTTGGTGCAGATTACTCGCTGGCAACTCATTGTTTTTTGACATCATTTTTTGTCTCAGACATATAGTAATGTATTCATATTTGGCCACAATGACAAAACCACGCCTAAAGTCCTGTGGATTCTGCTAAAACAATTGCAAATCGTTCTTGGAACACTTCATACGATTTCGTTTTTGGTCAACTGTGAGCAATCGCAGCAGATATCTTGCGAATAACTTTTTCATGCCCAAATGTTGCAAAATGATGCAAAATATTATGTACCCATTCACTCAAGATGCCCACAGTATTAGCAATTTGACACACCTTCATTCTTCCATCGTCTATCATATTATGGATTTTATCAATAATTTCTGGAGTGATGGCCTCAACAGGACATTCAGAACATTCAGCGTCACTGTACTCATATGGCGACTCCGAAACGTTTAAAATTATTTATAAACGAATCGGAGATGCAGATTCATCATAATGTTTATCAAACTTCTCTGTAGTCTCCTGAGGCGATTACCTTTCATAAAGTAATGTTTAACACAAAAAATTTTGTTTCATCTATTTTTTGGAAATCACTCGATTTCCTCGATTCAAATGAACGCTAAATACAAAAAAATAAACCGATCTGGCTAAAACTTGATGTGTATTCTTCCAAGAGATGCTACTAATTGAAACTACGGAGACTCGAGCCATGCTTGATGCAATCTTTCCTGCCGCGCATCAGGAGGATTATTTGTATATTTGCCAGTGGTGTTAGATGTCACCACTGCAGTCCGACCTGCATCCATTGAGTGAGAGATCAACATCGCTCTGGAGTACTGGTTGTGGGGATTCGAGAGAATATATATGTATATATATATATATGTATATATGTATATATATATATATATGTATATAGTGTATATTGTGATATATGTATATATGTATGTATATATGTATATATATATATGGTATATATGTATATTGTGATATATGTATATAGTGTATATATGTATATATGTATTCATTGTATTGT